ATTGAAATAATTGGTTGCTAAACCTCACACAGTAGGTAGTTTCTCATCCTAGAACACTGTCAAAACCAAGTGCTACAAACAGTGAAAGACAATCTCTGATGGCTCAATAATCATTATTATTGGAATAGGTAAACCCAATTTCATGTTGTTGGAACACTGTTCTTACAACTCTCTTCCTGATTTTATTACTGGGTTTCTAAATCTAGAAAAATGATAAAAACTTAGGAAGGAAAGTAAAAATCGACTGTGAGAAATGAGAGATGTATTATTGTATGGAAATAAATGTGAGGAAAGAGCTGCATAAATGTAAAAAAAAGTTTAAAATGATTAAGTGTTTAAGTGAATAGTTACTACTATTTCCTACTATGCATTAGCAAGGTTAACAGTGTAGCTTGTAGTATGTTACTAGCAGTTTTGTATGTATGCAACATATTGAATGTGCTACAGGTAGTTCTATAACATGATGGTTGTGTTCTTGTGTGACCTCTCACTATAGAAAATCACCATAGAAAACCACGTTATAGGGAAAGTGCTACAGAAAATTGCTATACCTGTACAGCAGAAAGTTCGCATTATCCAAACAGCATCCACTATTCATCAATCGTGTTACAGCCAATTCGTGTTAACGTAACACGTGCTATAGCAGAACTACCTGTACATTCTCGGAGGTGTTATTCAAAGTAGATAATGGATCTGCACTGTCTGTCCTCTCAGACATGTCTGGCTGTAAAAAATCCCTTTGACCCTATTTTTCAGAAGAGTTAGGGAGCATTCCGCATATCCTGCCCCAATATTCATGTGGGATAAACAAGCCAATTATTTGGTAGCTGTGTCCGTGATCTGTGTGCAAAATGACTGCCAAAATTCTAACATTTCAACAGGGACTATACTTCAAATGATCTTCATGGCTGTATAATGTTTGTGATTGTGAATGTTGCTGTGTAAAGCCAAGTCCTTTCTACTTTAACTTCAAACAGAAACAGTAATTTAAAATGGGCAAACAGTTTTCTGTCAGTGAGGCTTTATTTTGAGTCATGAGATCGATTATCAGATCTTCTCATGAATAGCACATGTGCTGACAGTGGGTGAGGTCCCTTGTCCTGGGAGACACTTGAAAAATGCAGTTTCCATGCCAACTGTTCTGAATTAATGCAAAATCTTATGATACAGCTGTATGAGGGCTTGTTTTCTGGTGTTATTAACAGAGATTAGAATCTTCCCGTTGCTAAACAACGTAAGCATTGACTAGAAAGTTGGGAAAACTGAATGTGATGGCCAGTAGAAGCCTCCTAACCTTGAGAGGAAAAAAACCCACTTTCTAACCATGTGTTCAATGACACAATGAAATTCTCACTTGTGAGCAACAGGGGACCTATTTGCATGTATTAACATCTCATTAGTCATTAATCTAGCCTTATTAATATACAGAGTCCCATTCTCCCATCTACTGGATAGCAACAAAATGGTGAATTCCCAACATGAAAGTCAGAGCTGTTTCCTGGTGACATTGGGTTTAAGCTATCGGGCTCAAGTGAATCCCTAGATGACTATAAAAAGTGTAAGAGTACACTTAAGAGGGAAATAAGAAAAGCAAAAAGATGGTATGAGATGGACATGGCAGTTAAGGTTGTAAGATAATTCCAAGAGGTACTACAGCTATATTAAGAGTAAAAGGGTGGTTAGGGAGAGAATAGGTCCTCTTAAAGATCAGTATGGCTGTCTATGTGTGGAGTCACAGGAGATGGGGGAGATTTTTAATGAATATTCTGAGGAGAGAATCATGGATACTAAGGAAATAAGGGAAACAAGTGGAGATGTTTTGGACCGTGTACATATGGCCAGAGTGGAGATACTTGCAGCATTAGGTCGCATTAAGGTGGATAAATCCCTATGCCTGATAAAGTCCATCCTCAGACATTGTGGATGGCTAAGAAAGAAATTGTAGAGGCCCTTGCAGAGATTTTTGCTTCATGTTTAGCCACTAGTTCTGGAAGACTAGAGGGTGGGTAATGTTGTTCCATTGTTTAAGAAAGGTAGCAAAGACAAGCCAGGGAACTTACAGGCCAGTGAGCCTGATATTAGTGGTAGGCAAGTTATTGGAGAAGATACTGAGGGACAGTATTAACCAACATTTGGATAGTCAAGGTCTGATTAGGGATAGTCAGCATGGATTTGTGCACAGGAAGTCACGTCTGACAAATCTTTTAGAGTTTTTTGAAGAGGTATCCAAGAGGATGGATGAGGGTAGGGCAGTGGATGTTGTCTATACTGACTTTAGTAAGGCCTTTGACAAGGTCCCGCATGGCAGGCTAGTCATCAAAGTTAGGTTGCATGGGATCCAAGGACATCTGGCTAATTAGATTCATAATTGGCTCAATTTTGAGGAAGCAGAGGGTGATGATTGAGGGTTGTTCCTCGGACTGGAGGCCTGTGACTAGGGGTATGCCACAGACGTAGATGCTGGGATCTTTGTTATTTCTTATATACATAAATGATCTGGCTGTGAATGTATAAGACATGATTAGTAAATTGGTGAATGGTACAAAATTAGGAGCTGAAAGCGAGGAAGGTTATCAAAAATTACAGAGGGATCATGATCAAATGGGGAAGTGGGCTGAGGATTGGCAAATGCAATTCAATACAGATGTGTGAGGTGTTGCACTTTGGAAAATCGAACCAAGGTAGGACTTATACAGTAAATGGTAAGGTCCTGAGGAGTGTTGTGGAACACAGCGACCCAGGAGAACAAATACATAATTTGTTGAAAGTGGCGTCACAGGTGGACAGGGTGGTGAAGAAGGTATTTAGCATGCTGGCTTTCATTGGTTGAGGCACTGAGTACCGGAGTTGGGACATTCTGTAACAATTGTATAAGTCGTTGGTGAGGCTGCGCTTGGAATATTGTATACAGTTTTGGTCACCCTGTTATAGGAAAGACATAGTTAAACTGGAAAGTGTGCAATGCAGATTTATGAGGACATTGCCAGGACTAGTAGGCCTGAATTGCAGGGGGAGGTTGGCCAGGCTCGGACTTTATTCCTTAGAATATAGGAGAATGAGGGGTGACCTTATTGAGGTGAATAAAATCGTGAGGGGCATAGATAGGATGAATGCGTATAGCTTTTCTCCCCCCAAGGATGGGTAATTGAAAACTAGACAGCATAGGTTTAAGGTGAGAGGGGAAAGATTTAAGAAGGACTAGAGGGGTAACATTTTCACACAGAGAGTGGTGTGTAGGACATTGTGGGTCTACTGATGTCCTTAAGGAGGGAATTCCAGTATTTTGACCCCGTGACAGTAAAGGAATGGTGATATATTTCAAAGTCTGGATGGTGAGTGATTTGGAGGAGAACTGGTAGATGGTGGTGTTCCCATGTTATCTGCTTCCTTTGCCCTTCCAGATGGAAGTTGATGTGGGTTTGGCTGGTGCTGCCTAAGTATCTTTGGTGAATTTCTGCAGTGAAAGCTGTGGCAAGTAACATTTGTGCCACACAAATCCCAGGCAATGACCACCTCCAATAAGAGACAATCTAACCACTGCCCCTTGACATTCACTGATGTTACAATCACTGAATCCCCTACTTCAACATCCTTGAGGTAACCATTGACCAGAAACTCAACTGGACCAGCCACATAAACACAATGGCTACAAGAGCAGGTCTGAGGCTGGGAATACTGTGTTGAGTAACTCACTTCCTGACTCCCCAAAACCCGTCCACTATTTCAATGTTGAAGAAATCTCACAACGCCCTTCTCAAGAGCAACTAGCAATGGGAAATAAATGCTGGCCCACTGACACACACATCCCCTGAATGAATAAAAGTACAGATCTGTCAGGAGCAGCAGCGACATTCATGCTGAACAGATGCTGAACAGTCACCACATGAAGAGATGAGGCACTCCTCAGGATACAGAGGAGAGACAGGAGGTCCAAAGCCAATTGTTCTTAATACCATTTCCTCCAGATGACCAAGGTGTGGTGGTTACCACAGACTGAGAATGATCCAGGAGATTGTCACAGAATTATGCCAGTTTCTGGAGTGGGATACTGGAGGCGTTGGTGACCACCCTGCCCCAGTGAACATCAAAATGACAGTTCCGCTCAACTTTTATGTAAATGGTTGCTTTGAATTGACATCTGGTTCCATCAGATGTGAATTGTGATCTCTCCTTGATTGTAATTGTTGGTCCTCAAAGGGCAATAGTCCACAGCTCTTCCCAGAGACAAGTTGCAGGTTTTGTCTGTTTTATTTTGCTCTCTTTTGTGTTGCTGAATAGAAGTAAATGTTTTGAACCATTTCAACCATTTCCAGTGTGTGATGGTCCACATTGAACAATAATAAGATTTTGGGCTACACTGGGCATCGGGGAAACCATAGCCTTGACTTAGACAGGGTTATAAATGGAATGAGGCTAAGAACGTGGAAGCTGTGTGGCTTTGTTCTTAACCAGCAACAGATGTAAGAGTCTGCATTTGTAAATGCAATGAACTATCAACTATGCCACCTATGTTCCCTGAGAAGTGTTTGTTTGTGCTTTCTCTCTCACTTTATACCCTGTGAAGGGAAACTGAGGACTGCAGATATTGTGCACTGCTGGTTTTAAAAATGGTGTCAGTGCCAGGGATCTCAGTTTATCCCAGCAATGCCTTGTGAAACAATAGAATGAGTAAGGTGCTGTTCGGGTGCTGTGCACAGTTAATGAAGCAAATTTGGGAAGGTTGCACAAAAAAATCTCCTTGGCTTCACAAACAGAAACCCTACATTCAACTCACCAAAATGGATACTTAGCCAGTTTCTGGCTGGTTTCAGACCACAGGCTTAACTGCAAGTAGGTTTTGTGATGCAGCTCTAGATTAATCTTACAGAAGTCTGGTGAGTGCATCCTTTCATTGGAGAAGGTCTCTGGCAAAGGATCAGTCTTTGTACCAGTAACCAGCATGTTTTAATGTTGAAAATCTAATGCCTGTACTGCATTTTCTTATTTGCTTCACAGAGACTATTCCATCAGAAATGAGTAATATTAATGCGTTGATGAACAACGGTATCACTGCCATGTGCTCAATCTGTGGTGACCGTGCAACAGGGAAACATTATGGTGCGTCCAGTTGTGATGGATGCAAAGGTTTCTTCAGGAGAAGTGTTCGAAAAAATCATGTCTACACATGCAGGTAAGCTTCATATTGGACTTTGAGAGATCTGAGACATGATTAACATGGATAATGCTTGAGCTTGACAGTTCAATGAAGGTGTTAAGCAGGAGCTTATTTGGTATATAAAGAAATTAATTGCATGAATAAGATAAATTCAGAATAATATTTCAATATAAGTGCACTCAGATTATTACTCCAAAATCAATAAGGCGAGATAATATAATTTAAATGAACTTAAATCAGATCAAATCCCTCACTCACAGGGCCGCTGAATAGTTGAAGTAATTTATCCGTAAAGTGGTGCGGGGAATGATATAGTAACAATTAGATGCTAAACTAGGTGATGCAGTACTGGACGAACACTAGTGTCCGACTAGTCTGGAGGCATCAACTTAATCAGCTGAAGCACCATTCCTTTCTGTGTGAAAAAGAACGATTTATGCAAATGGTTAAGTTACTGAAATATCCTTTGCACTATTTTCAAAACAGATCACATCATACTTATGCAATATTTCCCAGAAAATACAATCTGTCTTCCATATCTTCCATTTTCATTGAAATAAATACTAAAAAATAATGTTTTAAATTAATGCCACAGATGCACGAGCGAGAATCTATTTGTGTCACATTACAATCCTGTAGTACACTGATCTGGAAAAATGCCATTCCAGATTAATATGAATGGGATTTATGGAAAGCAATAAAGCCCATGGATCACCACATTTAGAAATGCTTTGATGAACATTAGAGACAAGTTATTTTTCTGCGAGATTCAAACAACCAAACTTGTTTTCCTTTGAATTGACCAATATCAGGGGAAATGCATGGTTATTAACTGTAGGAATGTGTAGGAATGGTCCTTGTCAGTCACTAAACTAGGTATGTTCTCTACAAGAATTGCAGATTCCTTTTATGTCACTGAAGAAGCTGGAACTAGAGATGTCCAAGGATTTTGTGCAAGTCCTTGGGACATTCCTCTCCTCCTCCCTGGTCCAGAAGGAGCTCAAAGAGGTGGACATTTTCAAAACTTTATTTGGCCTCCTCTAAGCAGAAAGACCTTGTAGGATTCCCTCTGACATATCATTAATACTGCATCACAGCACCAATAATGTAACCTGGCTATGATCCCTACATAGGGGAGGTGATGGCCTAGTGGTATTATTACTGGGCTATTGATCCAGAGACCCAGGTAATGTCCCAGGACCTGGATTCCAATCCTGCCATGGCAAATGATGGAATTTGAATTTGGCTTAAGAAATCTGGAATTAAGAGTCTGCTAATGGCTATGAATCCATTTCTGATTGTTAGGGGGGAACCCATCTGGTTCACTAATGCCCTTTAGGGAAGGAAACTGCCATCCATACCTGGTCTGACCTACATGTGACTCTGGACCCACAGCAATGTGGCTGACTCTTAACTGCCCTCTGGGCAATAAATGGTGCCTACTTCTATTGGGACCTTAGCCCAGGGGTCACTGAATCACTAGCATTATTGTTATGTTGGCTGGCTACTGGTTGTTTGGAGGCAGAATTTTTGAATATTAAATCCAACCCCTCGCCTGGCCCTTAAATGACATCAGGCATGAGAGGGGAAGGAAAGAATTGAGGCCAATGAGCCAGTCAAATTAAATCTGTAATCGCAGTCTTGGAGGAGAGGACTAGAACATTAACACATTTCAAGAAAAACAAGTTTTTTTTGCATAACTGTTATAGGCACAAGAAATGTATTTGGCAGTAAAACTAGTGAGCTTTGCACAACTTAAAACACACAACATCTCTCTCTGCCCATAAAGTTACGACATACTTTTTAATATTGAACAACAACTTGTCTTTACGCAGTATTTTAAATGTTGTAAAATATTACAAATTGCTTCACAGAATGGCTACAAGGCAAAATTTAACGCTGCAACATGTAACGAAATATTAGAGCATGTGGTCAAAAGCTTTCTCAAAGAGATAGATTTTAAGGAGAGCCTTGAAGCAGGAAAGGGGAGAGTTTAGGGATGGAATTCCAGAATTTAGAGCCTATCAACAACTGATGTCGCAGCCATTAATGGGGCAAAGATTAAAACCAGGGTTGCTCAAGAAAATAGAACTGGAAGAGCATTGATATATGAGGGTTGTGGGGTTGAAAGGGTTGACAGAGAGAGACACGCATAGGGAGTTCCCTGTAATTCAGCCCTGCTGACCTCCTTTGCATAGTCTGAATGGAGCAGCTGCCGTAGGATTCCTGGCCTTGTATTGCTAATGCAACCTGCTTAGGAAAGACGGAGCACAGAGAACCATACAAACTAGGAGCGGCAGTAGGCTATGGAGCCCCTCTAGCCTGCATTTCTTTTCAATAAAATCATGGCAGTTCTGCTGGTGATCCCAACTCTGCATTCCTGCCTACCCCCTGAGCTGTACAACAGCAACTAAACTAATCTGATCAAGGTGCAAGTGAGGAATCTGTGAGCATTAGGGTTTCTAGAGAGTTTTAAAACACTGGGAGGTAGTGTCATAGTGGAAATATCACTGGACTAGTAATCCAGAATCCTAGGCTAATGTTCTGATCCGTCTATGGCAAACATTTAAAGTGTGTAAAAATCTGGAATAAATACTGTCCAAATGATGACAAGTAATTTTTTGTTCAAAACCCAAAAGAACTGCAGATGCTGTGCATCAGGAACAAATTGAGGAAGGCTCACTGGACCCGAAACATTAACTCTGATTTTCCTTCACAGATGCTGCCAGTCCTGCTGAGCTTCTCCAGCAAACTTCTGTTTCTGTTCTTTGTTTAAAACCCACCTGGTTTTAGGAAAGGAAATCAGCCAACCTTACCTGTCTGGCCTACATGTAACTCCAGACCCACAGTAATGTGTTTCATACTTACTTGCCCTCTGGGCAGTTAGGTATGGGCAATAAATGCTGGCCTAGCCAGCAACATCCACATTCCAGGAATGAATAAAAATAAACTTTCTATAGCCGTACATTATACTGTCAGGTAAGGGATTCATATTAGCACCTGGGACCCAATATTACTGCAACAAGTGAAAATATGAAGTGGGAAACATGGCATTACATATGAAATCCAGCAGCAGGAGGATGTGGATATAGTGCCAGCATTAAGCCCAGGTCCTCATTCATGTTTTCTTCCCAGCTTGATGTACGATTTTGCAAACTTAGAAATAAGGAACAAAACCTGGAAATAGATAGGAAATTGCAATCTGCAGATCCGGACTTGGAAGTTAGGGCAGGGGGTATTTATGACTAACCTCGGGGTGAGGGGTCAGAATCAAAGTCGCGATTGGCTGTGTGGAGGCCAAGATCCTCAATGGGGTGCCAATGAAGCACGCTTTTAAGAAAACACTATATCTTCTGGAGATGATAATTCCTCCTTTTGTTTCCCAGCCAGATTTCCCAGATATTGCAAACCTGGCCAGCAGCAAATAAATTTAAACTAAGTTTCAAGATACAATGTGGCAGAGAGATCAAAGTATCATTTCTCTCCAATGTGGAGCATTCACAAGACAGACTACTCATTGCATTGAAACTGACTGCAGATGTTGGTTTGGGGATCCTGTTCCTAATTTTTGACACTGAACTGCACAACTTGACTTCCTGCTGCCCATTGAAGGCAGGATAATAATGAAGCCTTGGTTACCAGGGAACAAAACCTAAGCCAATCTCCAATGAATAATGAAAGCTCAAAAAAGTGGTCCACACAGCTTGCGGAGCAGCGTGATTCCATTGGCCCTTTTTTTTTATTAGTGTTTAATGAGGGAGCCATCAAGGTGTTGAACACACATACTTTTTTCCCAGTCTAAGTTGGATTGCAATACGCTCAAGATTGGGAGTCAAGACCAAGCATCACAATCTGTTCACTTCAAAACCTTTCACTTCAGGGTCATTTGCTCAGTTAGAACCAGCCCTCCATGAATCTGACCAAGATAATCAGCACTCAGATGCAAGGGGTATTGAAACTCCGATAATCTCTCCTGTACAGTCCAAATAAATGCTGTTTTCTCCCATTTACAATCAAGGATATTCTCTCAAAGCACTACCCATCTCATTCCATGTCAATACATCAGCTCCCTTTACACCTTCATAACTTTACCAGTATGCATCACCTTTTAAATAGTTCATTCCTTGGCTCTGAACGTTGCTATATTGTTGGTATTTATTGTCCACCCCTGTTGCCATGAATTCTTTGTAGTAGCAGCTTGATATAACTCAGGGAGTTGCTAGGCCATTTTAGGGAGTAGTTTAGGATCAATGATGTTGGTGAGCGACTGGAGTCACTCATAGGCCAGATTAAGTAACAGTAGCAGATTACCCTCTCCAAAGGACATTCACAAATCAATTGGGTTTCAATAACAATTGACAACTTCCTGGTCACTTTTACAGATGTCATTTTTTAATTTTCACATTTCTTCAAAACTGAATTCAAATTCACAAACTGCCACGGTGAGATTTGAACTTATGTTTTCATGGGTTACCACAGCAGG